AAGAGAGAAAGATGCAACCTGTTGAGCACAGGAAGGAAGCTATAGCCATAGGCTAGGGAACAGAAGCAACATCTGTGCTAACTGGCTGTGAAATAGCTTGCTGACTTGCTAAAGCAAACTCATCAGTTCCCCCATGAGAGATTGAGTGAGTAAATGGGAAATAGACTGAAAGTGGAATGGATAAGATTCACAACATGAAGATTTTACAATATGTTCATGGAATTAGAGAATCACAGAATAGTTTGAGTTGGAAGAGACCTTAAATGTGCTATGTGCAGGGTTGCCACCAACAAGATCAGGCTGTCCAAGACCCCATCCAGCCTGGCCTTGAACACCGCTAGGGATGGGCAACCACAATTTCTTTGGACAACCTGTTCCATTGTTTCACCACCCTCTGAATAAAGAATTGCCTGTATCAAATTGTATCTAATCTTAATTTCTCCTCTTTTATTTTAAAGCCATTTTGCCTTGTCCTATTGCTGTTTGCCCATGTAAAACATCAGTGTCCCTACTTTTAATAAGCTCCCTTTAATTACTGAAAGGCCACAGTGAGGTCTTCTTGAGCCTTCTCTTCTCCAAGCTGAACAGTCCCAGCTCCCTCAACCTGTCTTCATAGGAGAGGTGCTCCAGCCCTCTCTGATCATCCATGGCCTTCTCTGGACCTGCTCTGACGGCTCCACATCTTCCTTGTGCTGGGGGCCTGAATGTACTACCCCAGATGGGGCCTCACAAGGGCAGAGCAGAGAGGGACTATCACCTCCCTCTCTTTCCTGGCCACCCCTCTTTTGTTGTGGCCAAGGATGCCATTGGCCTTCTGGACTGCCACTGCACGCTGTTGGCTCAAGTACAGGACTTTGTCTACCAAGACCCAACATCATTCTCCATAGGGCTGTTCCTACTCTGTGTTTATATCTGGGATTGTTCCAACTAAGATTCAGTGCTTTGCACTTCACTTCGTTGAACATTACTATGTTTATGTGGACCTACTTTTCAATCTTACCCATCTCCTTCTAGATGATAACCTTCCTTCTGTCATATCACCTGCACCACACAGCTTGGTGCCATCTGCAAACTTGCTGAAGGAACACTCAATTCTACTCTCTAGGTCACTGCTAAGAATGTTGAAGAGCACCAGTCCCAAGACAGACTGTTTTGGGACACCACCCATCATCAGCCTCCATCTGGATGGAGAGTCATTGACTTCAACCCCGTGTCTGTGGCCATGCAGCCAATTCCTCAAATCCTTATCTTTTCTATTTAGAGATAAAGATGTTGTGTGGGACCATGTCAAAGACTTTACGTAGTCCAGATAGACTGTATCAGTTGGTCTTCCTTTGTTGACTGATGCTGTCACTCCACCCTAGAAGACCACCAGATTGATCAGGTATGATTTGCCTTTGGCAGAGCATTGGCAAGCTGTCCAGGAGCTGCCTGTGCACCTGAAAATTATTTTCCTCCATATTCTAGAAAAGCAAAACTTTCTAACAATGGTCTTTGACTCAGCAAAGGATGGCCCACAAAAAGCCTTTTTTCCAGGAAAGAAAGAAATAAGATTTTGTGACAGCAAGCAGGTAGTCCCTACACACACCTCCCCTCACTCATCACTGTTCATGTTCATAGCACAGCTGTTGCTCTCACGAGGCAGCACAGATAAATGGGTCTGGAAGTGAGACTGTGACAAAGACTGAAAAGAAGTGCCATCACTGGAATAGAGCAAACCTAGGCCTAGGCTTACAAGGACATTGCTGCCAAAATACCAGTAAATATGCTAACATGTATTTGCTTGTTGTGACTGAAGAAGGGAAAAACTTTATCTGGCAAGTCTCCATGAAAAGCCCAGTTAAATGACTTTTGAAAGCCAGGCACAAATGGGACAGTGACTGCTGCTCCACATCTGACATAACCAACAACAAATTGAGAGCAGTCTCAGCCTGACAGGTGTTCAGGTGAAATGATTTCTTTCTGCTTGCTCATAAATGAAGACAGAGGCATCTGGAAACCATGACTTAGGAGAAATCAGAAAGGGAGAATGCAAAAAAAAAAAAAAAAAGCTTGAAGATCTGTAGGAGTTAGCAAGTTTATCAATTATCAAAGGCAATTCAATCTTTTGACTGCTGAGTTGATCAGTTTTGATCTTGTCATTAGTGTCATAAAAATATATTTACTATCATGTCTTGCAGCAGCTTCACAGTTGAGCCAATATTTGTTAGGCAGAATGTTTGGAAATGATACCATCTTGTCTCAGTCGTGACAGCCAGCATTACTTCCAGACACCTCATGACACGTAGTGGTGCAAGCTAAATCTTACAATTCTTGGTCATGAAATATCCTTCATTAATTTGACATATTACTAAGGGTAAGAACAAAGTCTATGAAAGTGGCAGTCGTATCACTCAAGCAATCATTTTATTAATAGCAGAAATACTTCTTAATCAGTTTGCAAGTATGAAATGATTCTTGTAAAGTGGCAGATGAGCCGAAGGAAGTAAAACATGCTTCTACACTTCAACACACAGTACAACATATAATTTACTGTCACCTCTGTTATGGCTGGCATTTGCATTCTCTTTTAAATGCTTAACTTAGTGGAGGCAGAAGGAAAAAAATAGATGTGTTGAGATCTTAAGGATAGATGTATCCTTAAGGATAGAGGACTGTGTTTACTTTGGTGTTTTCGTGTAGTACTATGTTGCCATTAGATTGCAGTTAGAAAGACTTCTTCTGCTATTATTTGGCATTATTAAGTATTTACAAGACAGTAGAGTTAATCATTTCTCTGCTCACTGAATGTAAATGTACAGGTAAGCAAATATTTCAATAGAACACAGGGTATAACTGGAAATAGTTAATGGATCTGTGGGAGCAAGACAACATTCTGCAGCAAAATATTTGTCTTTGAACTTTGGAATGGGACTGCCAGACTTTTTTTTTTTTTTTTTTTTTTTTAATGTCTGTGTAAAGAAAAAAACCCTCCAAAACCAAAAACCCACTGTTGTTCCAAATAACTATTCTGTAAGTCCAACAGTAACTTCTGAAATGCTCTACGGGCACTAAAGTAAATACTGAAATAAATCTTTCTTCCATTTGCTTAATTATTTAATCATTCTGCTACATTATTTGACTTCGGCAGGAACAGCAAACCTGTCAGTAGTTGTAGACACTGTCAGTCATGATGGCAGGGCATACCTTGAAAGAGGAAAGTCAGCCTCAGGTCTTTGGTAAGAGTGTGACCTTCTGGGACTAAAAATATGTGCTTGGTTGTATCACAGATGGAATTGGTATGGTAAATATGGCTTGGATTATGGTTTTTTTTGCCTGTTTTGCTCTGCAGATGGTAGAGATGCAGATGGCACTTTCTCTACTTCACGTCGTAATTCTTTATTCAGTAGGCAATTCTGTGAGCCCCTTATTTCTCTGAGAACTTCAGGATTACTATTACAAGTTCTTCAGTGAAGTTTACCCTTGGCAAGAGAGGTCAGAAGAAGCCTCAACTAAGCAGGCTTGGAGTCCTTCTCCTCTGTTAATGGCATGGAAAGAAATGAATTGTGAATCTCAACACAGAAACCCAACAGTGGTTTAATAGTTCTTCTGTTGATTGTCCTACTCCCACTTTTTACTGTTTGTGCCCAGCATTCCTTGCCAGGTCTAGTCAGTCACAGATCCTGCAATCAATTGTCTCTCCTGCCTCTATCTTAGGACATTGTATCTGCAGCTCCTTTGTACCACCGTAGCAGAGACAAGGTGCCTAGGACAGAGTGGATGAGACAGCAGGGGCAGAGCTCAGGCTGCACTCTATCAGTGAAATCCAGTTTCTCTGGCAAGACTGGAGAAATCATTTCTGACATGGTGCTGGCAAGACCCTGACCAGCCGTCTTACTTGACTAGAGTTGGACTAAAGGAGTGCTTACAAAATCTTTAGTCAGTGCATATTGAGGGCAGAATTTCGACACCAGTCTGTGGCTTGTGCTGAACAGCAGTAAGTTATATTACCAGAATATTTTCAACAAAAGTTAATTTTAATTCCTGGGTGACACGTCATACTGGCAAGAATTCTATCCTGTCAGATTTCAGTTAAATCAGGCTACAGGTTCAGAAGTTATGTGAAACAGTACACAACCCATGTAGCACATCATATCTGCTTTCATTGGATACTGTTTAAGAAAAGCCTTTCAGGCATTTAAGATATGTCTTCAAATGTATCATAAATAAATTGCAAATAGAAATTCTCAGCACTTGGGTGGAAGAATTTCACTGATTCCATGCAGCTCCATTCCCAAATCATGCACTCCTGAATTGCCTACTCCTGCAAGCATTGCAAAGGCAAAGGGAAGCATCATGGGGCATTTCCTAAGTGTTTGAACATATGCATTTAAATGTGGCTAACATAATTCCACTTCTAGGTACAGATGCAAGTTGGAAATCAAAATCATTGCAGATTGAAATCCTAGAAGTGCAAAAGAAATAGGAAGTAAATGCTAACAGTAAAGTAAAAATTGCAGGCATTGCGCATGTAAATATGCTGTTCTTTGAAAGGCATGGAGCTATTTCTCAGATGGGCCTAAACTCATAGAAGCAATATTAGTATAGCTGTATTATATATTGTAAATTAAAGAGCCTTAGCAATATGAGACAAAGCTGGCCTTTGAATAGGAAATCAAAAGAAAACTGAAAAATCAGGGTAGCCAAAAGCAGTCTAGGTAAATTCCGCTTTAGCAAAAAGTTAGAGAAACTAACACTAAGCACTCAAAACCCAACAAGCATCTTAATTATATGGCTTTTGTTGCTGCCACTGAAGTAGGAAAAGGGCATGTGTTGGACAAGAAAAATGGCTTGCTTGTGCTGAACACCCTTCAGAGGAAGGAAATCAGTGTGCAGTTCCAAGAACCCTAGTTACATGTAAATTCTGAAAGCCAAAAGAAAGCAGGCATCTGACTCATTATCTGCAGCCAAGTACTACAGTATTTACATTTAAATATTTTATTTTATTTTATTTTTTCCAGAATGATGAATGAGAAACTTTACTACAATTTTACTGCCTTGGATAACCTTATGGATCGTCTGTGGGAAAATAAGCTTATTCCAGGTAAGAGTAGCTCCCTACCTCCAGAGCTTGGTACATCTGCTATTTTGTCCACATTGTGCAATCATCAGATAGAACTATTCTTAGGGAACTTTTTATTTTGATAAAAATTTGGTTTTTTTTTACTACTTGCATTTACCTCATATCCACAGCAATGTAAACACTCTTAGAAAAACATGATTGGGGTAATAAAGAAAACACAAATGCTTTTCCATAGTTTTCAATGATAGTCTGAGATGTACTGATTGGGAAATTACATCTCTTGGAGAAAGTTTTTTACTAACTAACATGCACCTACTGGGGCCGGAGAAGCAGGTTCTCAAGATACAGCATCCCTTGAATCTCTGCAGATATCTACTGTTTAAAGTTCCCCCTCTGCACTGGATTTATGATGGAAGTATTTCTATTGGTTACTGTTGTCATCAGCAAGGACCAGATGCAGCAAACTCACATCTGAAATATTCCCAGAGGGGATATACAGAAACAGGAAAGAAAGCCAACTTGTTGATGTTTCTTCATTGTCTTTTCTTCTTCTCTTATAAGTTTGCTTCAGATAATACAATAACCCTTTCACTAATTAAAAGGGGATAATATTAAAAAAAAAAGAAAGAAAAGAAACTCATATTTTGTGTCTGTTTTAGGATTTGAATTGATGGGGAATCCTTCAGGGTATTTTCTAAATTTTGAAGATAAAGAGCAAGTAGTAAGATGGAGAAACTTAGTTACACTTCTGGCCAGCAGATATATAGGTAAGTTCCAAAAAATGGAAACATCCCTATTACTTATTCTTTGTAGTCCTTTTTAATTACTTCAGAATGTTCTGTGGCTTGTTGTAGTTTCTTGACACTAGATTTCATTGCAAAACAGGAAAATCTGTATACAAGAATAGCAAATGGGACCCATTTAGCTGATCCACAACCAAAAGCCGGAAACTACAGTATGTGGTTTGGGTAGCCCATTTGACCTGCCCATGAGGACTGAATTTTAACTTATATTGTTTGTGCTGGGTCATTATAGCCTGAATATATCCCACACGGTAGCTTCAAGAATTTCTGACAAGGCAGAAGCTTTAGCCTAGGACTCGTGCAGTCTACATGCCCTGACAAAAATCTATTACTCACATCACCTCACTCTACAGTTTTGTTCTGATGGTCTTCTCACCTTTCCTCTATTGCTATACCCAAGATGAAAGATCATTTTGAAATTACCCAAATTTTTCTGACTATTTTTCTGACTATTAAACTGAGATCATTTACACCCTATTGTAGCTCTAGGTGCATACCTTCACATACAGCACATGACTAGCTGATAGGATTGTCTGTGCATGCACTGCAGCTCACTGATAAATGAGGCCTCTTGCACAGATAGATACGGATTGGAGCATGTTGCTAAATGGAATTTTGAAACTTGGAATGAACCAGATCACCATGACTTTGACAATGTGTCTATGACGGTGAAAGGTAAGCATATTTTTGAGCACTTACTAGTGTAGTAATGTCAGAAGGGTGTGTGTGTTGAGTGAAAAAGGAGAAATGTTGAATAAATAAAGTAGATTTGAGAGATGTGCATGAAAAATATATCTAATCTCTTATACTATGGCCATGTTACTGACTACAGTAGTTACTCTGTCTCCTGCTTGAACATAAGTATAAATACAGGGATAGCAGAACAGAGAAAACAGAACACAGATTACACTCTTAAGACATTGATTGGTTATAAAATAAGTTTACTAGAGGTAATGTTGCAGTAAGATGAAAATAATTCATTGTCAGATAAGTGCTTTAGGAGCCTGACTTAATAAGACCTTTGGAAGAACCTTAGAACCTTGTGAATGCAGTGGAGGCTTTCATATCTTCTTATATATATTGTCAGTCCAAATAAATGCAGTAATAGAAAGAGTTATCTTTAGTTTTAGATCAAGATTCTGAGTTATCATCATTGTTATGTGCATCTGCTTGGACTTCAGGGTTTCTCAACTATTATGATGCTTGCTCAGAAGGATTAAGAGCAGCTAGTACTGAACTAAAATTTGGAGGACCTGGGGACTCCTTCCACCCCTTTCCCAAGTCACCCATATGCTGGAGTCTTCTGTGTCATTGCTACAATGGAACCAACTTTTTCACAGGAGAGACTGGTGTAAGGTTGGACTACATCTCTCTTCATAAGAAGGTTAGTCCAAGACTTCAATTTAAAGCTATTCTTAAGCAGTTCATCCTAAGTTATGTTTTATTCTGATTTATGATGTTGATTTCCTTGTAAGTGTGCAGCCTATGGAAGGAAATACAATTACTAGTTCTAAAGAAACGTTTAAGAAGAATGTATATCTAGGAATATATTTTCAAAATATGGTGCTGCATCTTTTTGGTTACTGCTATTTCCTCACTTTTACTAAGCAGATACAACATATTGTTGCAGGGAGGTGGGCATTCTCTCTACATCTTGCAACAAGAAGTGGAAGCAGTTGAACAAATACAGAAGTTATTTCCAAATTTTGCTTCCGTTCCCATATACAACGATGAAGCAGATCCAATGGTTGGATGGTCTGTTCCACAACTGTGGCGAGCTGATGTGACATATGCAGCTATGGTTGTAAAGGTAACTCAGTTCATTGACAGGCTTGTCATAGTACAGTCTCTTGAAGCATTAATGCAATTGTAAAAGTAGTAAAAGTTTTGCAAAAGTTGTCGATTTTCAATTTTTATTATTCTGATAACTTAGTAACGGAGACTAGAAAATACAGACATAGCTGGTGTTTCCCTGAATTCTTTGTCCCCAGTAGCTTTATTTAATTTATATTAAATTTCTTCATCTTCCCTTAAAAAAGATAACTGGCAGATAGCCTTCCATGTGTTGGAGAATGTGTTGGATATTGTATACAGTCTCTCAGTTAGATTCACTTGTAAGACTACCCATTCTCTCTCTGTGTAATACTGCTGTTGCCACTTCCCTTCTGTGGGACGTTATTTTCCAGACTCTTCACAAGTTCATTTTGTCAAGGGACATCAAGTACAATTAAGAAGTAAATTGATCTCTAAGCACAGGCCTGTTCTTTGGCTTTGGATAATGACTCCATACATATGGTCTTATTAATTAGTGCTAGTCATTACTACTCATGCTTGGAAAAGCAGAAGTAGAAGAGAATGCTCAGGATGCCTTTGCAGGATCTGTATTCTGTACGCGATGCAAGCTCAACTTTTGCCCCTACATAGCAACAATTCCCATTGTATGTTTGTTGTTCTGTGAGTCACTACCTCCTATAGCAACCATGGCAACATGTGTTTCACCCAGAAATGTGATACATCTTTTCACCTGCACCTCTGGGACAAGGGCTTCTACCTCGTAAGTCTTCTCCAAAGCAGCAAGTCACTGGCTGCATCACAGGGAATTCATGAGAGCAAACAGCAGTGTTTACAGTGACATAGAGTTATGAAGGAATAGAAAAGACATATTCAGCAGAAAATTAACTCTTTGGTAGATAGCTTTTAACCTGTGTGGTTAAAAGCCCTTATTTGAGGAGTACAACTATGAGACCTTCTCTGTTCTAAAGTACCATTTGATTCTGATTTCTAAGCAAAATATGTTAGGCAGAGAGGTTGGATGCTCTGACATTTTGCAGGAAAATGGCAAAGTAACCAGTGAAATACTGAAAGAGAATTTATTCCACATTAGTGCCAAATGCGTAAAACTACTCAATGAGAAACAGAATCCAGGAGCAACTTGCAGGCCCAGCTCCCTTTGTAGTCCTTTGTAATGGCTGCAAGGTATCTCCAGAATGGAATAAATGTTTTTTTCAGATGGTAAATCCAGATTACTAATCTACTGTTCAAACAGAGGAATATTATTTGTAGTTCAGACACCAAAGAAATATATTAATAATTTATGCAGACTACCAGTAGTGCTCACTTCAGTCTTTAATTAACTGAGCTGTGTGAATACTTAAATTTTCCCATGTTTAAACTTTCACTTAAAAAATACTTTTCTTCATGAGCTGTGGTGAATAGTTTAATTCTTCACACTTTTCTAAATGACAGTGACATGTCTTTCCAGTATGCTGTGAAGTTTAAAAATAAAACAAATAAAGACATCATTGTGTTTGTTGGATATTTTTCATCTTCTCTGCTGTTTTGCAGGTAATCATCCAGCATCAAAACTTACTAATTTCCAAAGCCAACAACACCATTAACTACACACTGTTGAGTAATGACAATGCCTTCATGAGCTACTACCCGCATTACTTCACACAGCGGACTCTGACAGCACGTTTTCAGATGAATAATACAAAGCCACCTCACGTCCAGATGGTGCGGAAACCAGTGCTGACTGTCATGGGCTTGCTGGCACTGCTAGGTACAGTAGTCATTGATTAGGAAGTGCAATAGTTACCTCATCTACGTAGATATTTCATACATGAGAGAGATTATTTCAGCCATCTCACCCCAGATAAAAAGCTGGATTTTTCCTACTCAACTGTGATTTTTAAATAAAACAAACTCTCATTTTCTTGGAGATCAGGAGATCTTCTTGACAGCTTATCATCTCTTTGATTTAATCTACTGTTCTGTTTATAAATTCTGCAAGCCAAACATTTCTTTTTAATGGACTTGTAACTCCCCTTGTGTGCCATCATTTCAGGCTGCAAATGACTTTAAGAAATACTCCCAGCTGTAAGACTCATACAGCCCAGTAAGGGGAAATCCTAATTCATGGTTGCATGCTTAGACATTGTTTCTTGAATTGCTAAATGTAGGACTTGCTGTAGTGCCTGCATGCTTTTCAGTAGTAAAAACCATACATAAGCTTGACTGATACTACACCTGGTAAACTAAGCTAGAACATAGCTCAACCTACAGACCCCTATGTTTTGACCCTTCTTGCATCAGAAGTTGGATTGAATAGCATGCTAACAGAGTTATCACATTTTTCAAAGGAGAAAAGCAGATTTTTGCGGAAGTAAACAGCAATGGAGGTGAAAGCACTGAAAACAGCACCTTTGGTGTCCTGGCATCTGTGCACACCCCAAGTGAGCTTCAGCCCTCAGACAGTTGGCAAGCTACTCTGCTGATGTATTCAAGTGAGGATAACAGGACTTCATCCAATGTCAGCACCATCACAGTGAACGCCACCCACTTCCCCAAGCTTAGAGGTAAACACATATCATGTAGGCAATTCTAAGAATTGATTGTGAGAACAGAACATGTTTTCAAACATCTCTGCTTAGTTGCTTTTCCTGGTAAGTTTCATTTGCTAGCTCTCTTACTTGTTTTTTGGGCACTCACAGATATTCTGAGATACAATGGTGCTCTTCTAGGAAAAGTTCTTAACATTTTGCTCCTGCTTTTAATAAAGGCAGGAAAAAAAGCTAGCTTTTCAGAAAGCTCTTCATCTGAGTTCATTAGCTGAGTGGTATCAGGCAACAAATTATCTTACTAGGATCACTCAACCACTCAGCATGACTAATGACTACGTGATTACACAAGTGATGCAGTTGTCCAACAAATGCTTGCAGGACTTCTGCAAAAAAAAAAAAGTGGGTTTCAATTCTGGGTATGGAATTTGGCAAGTATAATTACAGAGCTTCATAAGAATGCTGGTCCTATTTTTACAACTTTGCAGTGGAAGCAACTCTAAAGTGCTGAAATTACTTTTGAGAAAGTAGACTTCATCATCTTCTGCTAAATTAATTCATGTTGGTATTTAAGTCCAATTGAAGTGTTTACTGTCTTTCATTTGTGTTCTGAAGAGCCAGTGTATGTGATGTATTACCTGGACAACAACCAAACCAATCCCTATCTGAAATGGAAAAATCTAGGAAGCCCTGACTTTCCTTCCCCAGAACAGTTCCAGCGAATAAGGGATGTTGAGGTATGACCATGTCTTTGCTTGAAGTGTTGTATGGGGTATGTGCTTGTAAGTTAGTTAATTACAGCTAAAGAGGCAAAACACCAGCTATGGTAGATAAAATTTCCATCTCCTATTCAAGTGACTTGCAGCCAAGCAAAGAAACGTAACTCACAGATAACTGATAGTTTTGCATCCATTTTATACAAGGGTCTAAATGTTTATCATCATTTTCTTTGCTAGTGGCCTGGAGTAAGTTGCATGGCCATGCATGCATTACAGAAGGGCCACACCACTTCAGGAGACAGTTGAAAAGAAAAGACCTCAGTAACAAAAAACAACTTCCTGAAGTGTAAATTCAGAAGACTCTTGGAGCTCCTCCTTGCACCTCTTAGGGACTCTTGGGAAAGCCTGCAATTTCTCTTTCTCCTCACTAATTCTGATTTCACCCCATAGGGGATCGAGGAATGTCTTTAGATGTCACCTCTTCATAAGAAAAGCTATGCCCAGATTGCTTACTGTATATGCAAATATATAAGTAGATTATCATTTAGGTTCTCTCATATTGTTCAGCCCTTTGGGTTAAAGTAAGGGGACCACCTTTACCACCTCTATGCTCAGAGAAAGTAATTGCCTTCTGATGTTGGTATACAGTATTGTATCTTCCCTTCCTAGTCACTATACTGCTGAAGTCTTTGAGATCCTATAGGAGTCATACGGTCTGCCTTCAGCAAGAAAGCAGAAAGGTTTTAGGGCCTCTTGGCCATCTTGTGATACCTAATCCTCAGTGAGCAAGCTGTGTGATTGTTACAACTAGCAATCACTTTCACTGTACACTGGTGATCCATAGCAGAGAGGTAGAAAAGGTGGGGAGTGCACATACTCAGACTGAGCACATAAAGTATTCAGACTCTACTAGAAATTTATGCCTCCAAAATAAATATGCAGTCACTTTACTTGGATGTAACAGTTAGATATTATGTTCTATAACATTAATGAAAGATTATTCACAGGGCATGTTTTTGGCTCCACAGGATCCAGTGGTAACAGGTCCCTTGCCTTTTCCTGAAAGTGGCACCTTGACACTGAAGCAGGACTTCCCTATTCCATCAGTCTTTTTGATCCACATCTGTTCAAGACCCAGTTCGGTTCCTGATCAAGTATGTGTTGTATTCTGTCATCACACACCAAATTAGGAACTGCTTCCTTCTTAAAATCTCATTAAGGAGAGCTAGACTAGCATTTGGGCCCATTATATATTAGAAGCACTGTGTAGTAAATAAACAGTTATTCTCTCCTTTGATAAACAGGCTATCCAAGGCGTAATTCAAGATAAAACATTTCCACTGAAGTGATAGGAGCCATCCCTGAGATAAATGCAAGTTTCACATATATGGTGGGAAAATATAATGTAATAATGCAGTTTCTTTTTTAAAATTATATGATGTGCTACCGGGCTTGACAACAGCTCTCCAGTTAATAATTTATGGCTAAAAATAAACTGAAATAATGATGTCTCAGATTAGATAACTGCTTCTGCTTGTTCAATCCCAAACGATTAAAATGTTCATAGTGGTGTCCAGAGCCTCTGAAAGTCTTATGCAAGGTTTAGAGGTTGGAGATCTCTACACTACAAAGCCACAGAACCAGGAATTTTGGTTTTTCCCTGTCTTAATGGAAAGAATCAAACTCGGTAAGGTAGGGTGAGCACAGAATATCCAATCTAGTTGACTGGTTTTGTACAGCTTTCTGACATGGGCATTTGTCTTTGAACAGGTTACTGGTGTTCGTTTCATCCCTCTCACAAAGGGGCAGGTTGTTGTGCTGTGGGACGATGGCTGTGTAAATTCAAAGTAAGTGACTTCTAAGATAGGTACAACCAACGTGTGAATTGTTAAGTTGCCACCAGTCCTACAGATTCACTAATTAATGACTGCTTGCGCTTCGAATGATACTACAGTGCATTTCCCTGACAAAATGAAGTGTTGGATTTCCATGCAGCATTTACAGAGAAAATGCTGTTTGCACAGGAAAACCTGCCTGCTGTTCACAAGCAGCCAATGACATTTTCGAGAGATATTCCTTAAGCATAGCAGGCAGGAAGATCCATGATAAAAGTTGCTATATTAGCAGTAAGCGCCGAGGAATCATCCACAATGGGTATAGGCTGGAATAGAAAACTTCATATTTCTTACTCCAGCAAGCTGTACTAGAGTAGCAACTCTATGTAGATGACCTATCAGAAGTCCAAGATAGATGCAGTTTTCCTCAGGAAGCACTGACATAACCAGTCTAGATGCATCAGCTTTGTCTCTGTGATTGAGATTTGATAATTTATTGTATTGTAAGTTATGTATACTGACTTGTCTAGTTCTCTTTTCTAGGTGTATAAAGACATTTGAAGTTGAGTTCTCACCAAATGGAAAAATCTACAAGCGGATTAATGCCAAAGACACAATATTCACTCTGTATGTCTACAGTCCAGGTAAAGTTAGACTATACATAGTGTTATCTGTCATGTTAATAGCTCCACTCATGAATGTCTGAAAGTTCAATTAATAAGTTCCAAAAATATGTGATTTGTTATTGTACACATTCCTATCACAAGAAGAATATATCTTTTTCAGTAGGACTACATACTTTTAAAAGCCTTATTGTCAACACAAGCATTTATTGGAAAAAAAAAACCCAGCAGTTATGAGGACATTACTAAGAACATTGCATTGAGTAAATTCTTTGTCACAGAAACCAAGGTCACCCAGACATAGGCCTGGTGTGCTCTCTGGAAGGAAAAGCAACTCCTTTGTCTCTATTCCTAGCTGATGTGGAGGCATAGAAAAATGAGAACAAAAAAACTTTCTCCACATGACCAGAGTTCAGCATTGTGCTGATTGTGTTGGTAGTAGGCTCAAAGCAAGAAAAGTCTGAGGTCTAGGCTCAATCCCAGTGGCCTTGAGTCAGCTTAAGTGTGTGGCAAATACAGTTTGTACAGTCCTCTTGGCACAGGGTGATAGGAGCAAACAGCTTTGGTAACACTTGTTTTGTACCACTGAGTTTTGGGGTGTTAAACTGCCCAAGTACTTCAGTTCAACACACAGATAAGTGTGAGTTCACGTCCACCTTTTGAAGAAGAGTTGATTTATGCATGCATTTATCGTGTTCTTAGCTGCAAGAGTGGAAGTTTGCACTTTGCTCTTCACCTGGTCATCAGTCCTGCGCTTACACCCCCTTATGGTTTTACAAGCTATTGAAGTTCTCACTTTTTAAGAACTAAAGATGTCCTTCTGTCAGGCAGTTTGTTCTAACATCTGAATACCTAACCAAAGTGAGATGCATCTCTTTGCTCTTTCCTAGAGCTTTCTTTTCAGATACAACTAGCTGCCTAAGTTTTAGATATTTCACATTAGAAGGGAGTTCATCTGTGTCAACAGATGTCTTGCCTGGAAGTGATACTAATAAACTGCAAGCCAGAGAAGCTTTTGCCAGAAACAAAAGCTCATTTTAGCCCGAGAATGACTTAGCATCAACAGTGGGCACACAATAAAATTCAGAGCCATGATGTGTTATTGCAACAGGAAGGTTGGAAAAAATTGTAAACCATGGCTAAGGCAAATTTCTGAGATTAGAATCAATTATCATCTAGTGCTGTTCATCTGAGGAACGTACCATATTTACTTATTTGTTAAAAGAAAAAAACTTTTTGAAAAAATTTCCACATCTTTGCAGCTTTTTTTTGCTAGATACTTATTTATTACTCACTATTCCACCCCCTTCTTTTTCTTTAGGAAAAGAAAAATGCTAAAGCTCAGATTTAAGTCAAGTAAATAGATTACAAAAAACATATTGCTTGTGAAATTGAAGTCTTTGCTAGTGAAGACTGTCTTCTTTGAGCTAGATAAAGGATGAAAGCTAGCAGAGCTGCAGAACAGCAACTCACATACCTTTGGAGAAAGCCGTCCCACTACTGGAGTTGAACAGAGGATTTTCAGTCAGCTTGCATAATCGTTGTTCTCCTTTGTTGATCCTGTCCGCATATAACCTGTCCCAAGCACACAACAATAGGCAGAATTCAAGTCAGAAAAAAGGGAAATTTCTAGAGATATCCTAGCCTTCTTTTGGAAAGGCTGCTGGGAAGGCAGTCCTATAACTGTAGAAACAGATCTTAATAACAAGAGAGAAGGTGCTCAATGCTCGTGAAAGTAAGAGCTAGCATTGGCCCTGAGGATTTTATATGCCTTTTTAGTTAGGCAAGTACAGCACACTTATGTAGCATTCACAGCAGAATTAACTGCTTCCCACAAACCTACATTTTATCAGAGTATTGCCTGTTCCACATCCTCCAAGCACCACAGCTATCAGCCTTTCACACTGACCATTTCTAACCTTTTCATTTGCAGGAAGCTCAGTCTCCGGCTTTTACAGGGTGCATGCCATTGACTACTGGGGAAAGGCAGGCCTGTCCTCTGTTCCTGTGGAGTATGTTGAAGCTCTCAAGTGACTCTGAAGAGTGGTGCCTGGTTTGTTGACTGAGTGATGTATTCCTCCAGCAGATAACAACTCCCCAGAAAAGTAAACTCCTCCCAAGCTAAGGGGGGAGTATAGAAAGGACCTGATAAAGCAAGTTAGGAACACAAGTTAGAAGAAACTGCCCCTATTAACTCTTCAGAGCTCAAAGACAGTGTTATCAAACAATCACTGCTGACAACAATTATAGGACTGGCATTCAGTTTGGTAACTAGAAATTTCTGTTTGCTATTTTACACCGATATAATACGCAGAACAGACAAATATTTATAAAGGTCACAAACTGCAGCAGGAGCAATGCCATCACTTTACTATATGAGTGAGGAAGGCAGTAAAAACACAAGGAGAACCTGACTGAAAGTGAGCTGCCTGCTTCAGCTGCCTGGCTATCTTGACATACAGAGTGATAGAAGAGCAGACGGCAGCCAGACTTTCACATACAGATCACGAAGTGGAAGGTCCTGTCTTTCCCACCAGTTAATCATACATGCTCCTGAGGGTTGTTTCAGAGCATTTCTGCTCTCTTTAGATGTACGACGCCTGCTGCTTTCTGCGTTTGCCTAAGTCACCTTCTTGCCTTTGTGGAAGTCTTTGTATTTGTACAGAGCCATCAGTTACTTCCTTTTTAGGGTGAAGACTCTAGCTCCAAAAGTTTCTCTTCCTCTCCATTCCACTCTTACCTAATCTCACTTTATACAGCCCTTCAGGTCTAGCATGCTTCCCTTCTAGAGTTTCATGCTTAGATTGTAAAGGAGCTGAGGCTTGGCTTTGGATTCCCAGGAAAATTAAAATGCTGGTTAAAGCCTTTTTTGTTATAGCATAACACACAGTTACATTTAACAGAGGGCTACAGCTGAAAACCAGCTAGGAAACTAATCAAGAACAGTTGAGTTTCCATATTTCAGAAACCACATACTCAAGTGTGTTATTGCTCCAGATAATGAGCTGCGGAACACCTCTGGCTGTCCTTGCAAATGCCAAACACTTTATGCAACAACAAAGTTCCTTGAAATTGCAGGGGTGTTTTTTTACTCACCCCTCTTCACAGCCAGCACAGTTTGAGCTGTGCCTTTAAAATGCTTGTAGAGAGAAAGATATTGCCAGTGAAAACAGCTGGAATGTTTTCCATTAGAGGAGCAACTTTGTCACACAAACATCTCCCCTGCTGCTCTCTTTGCTGACGTCAGACACCTCACCAGCCTCACAACAAAGCTTGCATTTTTGATGAAACACAGACAAAAAAAAAAAAGTTTGCACAGTAGGAGATAGCTGAACTATCTAAAATGGCTGCGTATTTAAAACATGGGAAAGAAACATATACAAAATGTCGGTATGCATCCAATGATACTTTCTAGTTACTTGTTCACGTGCTTATACTAAAAGGTAGCCTTAAAAGATCCATTTGATCTCAGAATTCAGGTGGAATATTTCTTAACTCACTGAAGTTTGACTGAGGAGTGATTGTTACATCCTTATCTGCCAATTCCTTACTTATAAAGACTTGTACACAGCAGGAAAAAAAACATCAGAGCCTTCTTAGTTGGTAACTCTTCCAGTTTCAGAAAAGCATCAGTGAGAAGTTCTACCAGAATGGGGATAGTAAAAATACATTTTAATGTTACAACTACGTTCAAGTGAAGAGTCTGAAAATGAAGATAAGTAGATCCAGAGTTTGCCAGCATGAAGTGGAACCACTGAGAAAACAGCTTTTAGAAACATTTAGGTATGAATAGTGCATCTGAAATGGGAAAAATATAAAAGCGTGAGAGGACAGTTAGGATGTCATGTTTATGTAGTCTTACTTATGATGAATCTGTGTTTCATCAACTTACTTATGATTTTCCTGCATGGGCAGCTATTGCATGTAGCGATAGTTTTCAATTCAAGGACTATACAGTAGTTATAAAAATAATATTTGCAAAAGCAGACCTAAGAATATTGTAGATGCAGGTAGAATCTATTCTGTCAGGACCAACTTCAGCCACTTTGAAGATCTGTCACTAGCAACCTCTTTTAGGTCTCCTACATTAAGCATCATCCAAAGTGTGGATGGTGCTTTTTCAAATATTTCACTGGCACTGGCAACTGTGCATGGAAAACAGCTGACCAAAAATGATGCACTAACTGTTCAGAAACAAGTTTTACATATTCAGCAAGATTTATTTATTTTTCTACTTCCTCTTCATTGCGCTAGTATAAACTTACTCCTTTAAGCAATGAGCAAGTCTAAAAATCTGTGATAGAGAAGAGGAAGTTTCTAGGCTAGAATTTGTTTCCAACAATGTATGAACTTGCTGCTCTGGTCTTTTCTGTGTTTCAGTGACTACAAAATCTGCTATTTAGTACTTGAAACTTGAATTTTTTTTGACTGTTTGGCACTGACTGTCTAATAGGGCTTCCAACATTGCTTGCTTAATTGTTCATTTCTACCATCTCCTCCTTTACTGGGAAGTAGTTAGCTCTCTCCAATGCTTTAAGCTTTCATAAGTGCTGGATGTGCATAAGTGGTAAGTGGGGAGTAGCAGGCGCTTAGTGGTTTTTGTAGCTTCTGAGCCAAAGCAGCACTGCAGTGTTCTCAGATAAGTCTTCTGCTAACTGAGCAATAGAAATAAGAAAATCTAACTGCAACCTGAGGATGAGATGGTGTGCTTTTCAACAAGCAAAAGCTTCTGAGATTGTTTTGCAATTGTTTGTTTAGTGAAAACAAAGAAAAAAGCTTTCAAGGGGATATTTTATATTGTTTAATTGTGTATTTACTGGATTTGTTACCATCTTTTGTGCTACACAATAAAATATCTCTGGTGTGAATCCTGTTAAAACAAGATGCAATCATTGTGCTCAGTAGCTGCTCAGTATTCTTACGTCAGCAGTTAATTGTGAAGCATTGCCACTGTTCTCAAGGTATAGGAGCCTGACTGATGTGACTTCCAACCTTATATAGAACTGAAGCATGAAGGAAGTGTGACCAAAAAAAACCATATGTCACTGCTGAATAAAGCCTGAGAGACATTCCTGCATCCTGAGGATCATGTGTCTGGCCCTGGGGAAATGTATTGTTAGTGTTTTACATGCTTCTCCTGCAGATACAGTGGATCGATTCTACCATTGGACTTGCAGTGTCCTTGGTGTGAGGAGGTGCACTGGCATCTGAAGGACAAGATCCTTGCAGTGTTCCTCCTGCTGTTGCACAATCTCAGCCTTTCTGCCAGCACCAAAAGACCTTCTGAGGACAAAACAACAAGTCCTTTTCATTTGTAAACAGCTTTTTCTTTGCTCTTGTTAGTGGAAAGTTTGCGCAGAACGGGAGTGACTTGGGACCTCTAGACACACTTAGAACAAGGAATAATAGTCTGGTTTCCATTAGCCTGCTGAAACAGCAGGCAGAAGTGTGTCTGCCTCTAGACATACACTGAACATCAGATGCTGAACCCAGTAGAGTGAGAGGACTTTGGCTCAGAGCAGAATACACTTGTTACTGCCTAACTGACTTTACTTCACCTGTCACAGTCTGAGAAGTCAGTGGAGAGAAATGGACATGAGCTAATTAGATCACTTCCATCTGTTTATTAACTAGTCAGATCATACAGTAAGGGCCTGCATGTGATCGTGATGGGAATGTGTTCTCTCAGGACAAGGCAGGCTCCTGGGACACGTGTAACTCTGTGGTGTAATCTCCCAGAGTCACCACTGTCCTGCCTTCCTGGAGACACAATCTTTTGTGACTGAGAAGGGATTTTACTGCCTAACTCTTATGGACAGACTGTGCATAGTGCAGTAAGGATGTGCTTGGCCCTGCATCTGGATTGTGCTTGCTAGAATGCCCGCCCACCTTGGTATGTTATAGGTGCAGACAATTTAAAATCCCACCACTCTGTGACTGGTAGTCTGGTCTGAATGTCTTGGCCAAAGGTCAGGCTCCTTCATCTAGGGGCTTGTGTTGTCTAATCAGCTGTGATACAAGTCCAAAGTTCACAGAACTCCACCCCAATACTTCCTCATGGAACTGGTGGACAAGTGGTGAACATTAAATCGATTCACTAACCTTGCACTTAGTCCAGCTCAACAGACTGGAGTCTTTTAACACTCAATAGTCTCTTATCTGTGTGGTTTCCTTTTGCGTTGCATGCTGCTCTTCTGCTTCTGACCTTAACTTTAGATGGTTCACCATCTTGCTCCCCTTGAAGGTAGCTAACCTAGGCCAGAAAAGCAAGAACACCTTAATACCATAGTTTCTCTGCTGAGAGGCTTTAGAGTGCTTCCTGGGAAAAGAAAGCCTGAGAAACATCCCTGCATCCTGAGGATCATGTGTCTGGCCCTGGGGAAATGTGTTTAGTTAGTGTTTTACATGCTTCTCCTGCAGATACAGTGGATAGTGTTTATGGATACTGTAAGTAAGATATTGCATGTCGCAGAAGCTGTTCTGTGATGTGGCGTTCTGAGGCATTTCTCTATTTCATCCTGGTACCACAGAACTAATGCAGGGCTCAGGAGTGGGAACTGCCCAGCTTGGTCTTATGTGTTTCCTTGTATTGCTAACTGCAGGGTTCAGCATGGTGTGGGTGTGTTCTGTTCTGATAGTTTTATTCATAGGAACATTCTGAGTGAATTTGATTGCACTAAGGAATGTGGAAAATACTGACTCGGTTTACCCTTTTTCTACAAGGAGTTGTCTAGATATTATTATTTTTGTTCTTTTATCAATGAAAATCTTGCCCACAAAACATGCCAATTGTGTACCTTTGAGTTCTATAGCTCTCAGGTACCAGAGACTGGATAAGAAGGCAGTGAAGAGCAAATTATTGCCTGTGTCATTAGAAACAGAAGTACCTGCTCCCTTAAAGCAATGGCCCAGTGCTACTGAAAGGAGTGCTATACTGCACTCTAGAGTTGGGGTCAACTCAGAAATATTATTTTTCTATTCAGTTGTTCCAGAAATAATTTTAAGACATTACCAGGCAGCAAGGATCAAACCCTGCTGGCCCCATGAGGGGCTGTGGCAGGCTACCCTGGTCTCATCCCTTCCCAGGGAGCTGCCCCACTTCTGCTCCCCAGTGGCGTGCAACAGAAAGCAGTTATAGATGGGTTTTTTAAAAACTTTTATTGACAAATGCCACATTAGGTATTACCTTGAAAATTCAGATACCACTACTGTACTGCACACAGTTTACAAAATCCCCAACATTTTCATGTGTTTTTCAGAGAAAACACACTACTATGATTTATTAGCTGAGTGGCAGCTTCAGTACCAAGAGGTCTGGCTTCTGTGCTTAGGGGGTAGAATCACGTACTCTTAGCAGGCTCCTGCAAAGAAAGAAAAGAAACCTCAGCCCAGGTAAGTAAATCTGCAAAGTGTTCTACCAGCCTTTTAGCCTTTAGTGAAACTGGAATTAACATCTTCCTAGACTACTACTGATTCACAGAACAAGACAGGCTGTGTCATTCTGTACCTGTTCTCCCAACCTTTGCTAGATCCAGACAACTGAGTTTTTAGCCCTCTGAACACCTCAGCACGATCCCGTGAATATGAAGGGGCAAGGGGCAGGGATGCCCCCCCATCCCCATAACCAGGTGTGATGCCAGTGCTTGCTCTGCCTTCTCCTGTCTGGCAGTACAGAGCACTTGAATCAGGGTGGCAGCCTTCAGCCCGTTCTGCTTAGTACAGGGCCTATCTCCAGGCAGTGTGCTATGTGTAAATGGTGGCCACCAAGAAGAGACATTTTTGCACCCAGCATAGCTGTAGAAATTAATCTGCCTACCACGGGGACAGATCAGCTTCCATGGCCTCAGAAAAAAAAAATGTCCTCAAAATGGGCCCAAGATATGCTCCATTAGCACGTATGTGAAGCAGCTGCTAACTCACTGCCATCAGACACAGCCAGAACTGCTGCTCAAAGCCCCTCATCGCTGCTGTTCAGATAGCCTAGGACACAAAATGAGCTAAGGAGAGGAGCACATTTCTCTCTGGAGGCAGTTTTCCCTCCTTTTCCTCATAGATGATGCACAAACATGAAGTAAGATGCTGTTAGTCAGGTGGCCAAGCCAACCATTTCCAACCATCAGGTTGTTGCACTCCAACCTATCTGATACAGAGGAGCTGGTTCTCCTTTGTAGCGTGTCAGCATCAGCACACAAGGGGAAACTTAAGGCCGTGGATCAGGGTCTCTACCTGCTGTGTGTTGCAGCTGTTATGAAGTTAAAAACATCATAAACAATTACAGCTTGGCTTGCTGCGGCTCTGCCACACTGACAGCAAATGCGGTCACCTCCCCTGCAAGCTGCCCGTGCAGCCATTTCTCTGCAGGTTGGCTTGAGGTACCTGACTGCAGCACAGGCTGGAACTGGCCAGACATGCAGATCTCCTCCTGCTTCTGGCGCACGATGCGCTGGATGGCGGGGGGCAGGCCACGGGGGTTGCGAGAGAAGATCAGGGAGTAGCCGTCATCGCAGGAGCCGTCCTCCTTCAGGCTGCGGCAGGCGTAAGTAATGGCGTAGTTATCATAGTCGGTGTCAATCACCCAGTAGTTGTCCCCTGAAACACAGAGCACGTGTTTGTTACCATAGGCACAGTAGACTGATAGAGGACTGGGCTGCAAAGCAGAGAGAGGCCGCACTTCAGCAAAGGGCTGGGCAGCCTCCTGCAAGACTGAGAGTCCCCCACCCCCCTCCACCTGTGAGGTGAATAATGGAGCAGACATGGTGCAGCCTGAGTTGTGGCTCACAAATGCACAAATCCAGGCAGTGGTATGCTCTAGGCAGCACAGTGAGGAGGCAGGAAGAGGCACTCACCACCACTGGACAGATAGCTCGCCAGGCCCTGGTACGTCATGTACATCTTTGCAGGAGTGGTCGGGTCTGGCACTGTGTACTGAGCAGCCATGTCAGCACAGATTACCCAGAACCTGCAACGAGACCCGCAGGACTGATGGTAAGACTCTGGGTGAAGCCCACTGAGGACTGGGCAAGCACAGGCCAGGTTCAGCTCAACAGCCTCAGACACAGTCATTCCTAGTGCAAAGCTAGTCTGCTATTAAACACAGTGAGTTTGTGGCTCCACTAATGCTGATGCCTGGTTGCTCTGCTCTGGCCCCACTATCTGCAGAGCTGCCATGCTGAGGCTAGGCCAGGATCTCACCCCTCTGCTGGGTTCACCTTCCTTGTCTGTGGCACAGGGATGCCTGCTATATGCGCAGAAACAAGCACAGACAGCCTCTGCTGGCCAAACCAGTCAAAGTCTTTCGCCCAGACAAAGGGAGCCTTGTAACTACCCGGACAGACAGTCTTCTTTGTCCTCTTCCACTAAGGGTCCTTATTCACACCTATTGCTTTGTGCCTCCCCACAGTATGGCAAGCATTACTGGATTTGTGAAGCAGTGGAAGGCTCTCCATTCGCATTCTAAAGGATGTATTTCCTTCTTCTGCTGCCTTTACAGAAAGAAATTCCTGGTAGCCTTTATATCCCACCTGGTCTCTGAAAAGTCCATTCAGGAATCTTCCCACCCAACTGCATGGCATGCCCGCAGAGCTTCCTTCAGACTTCAAATAGCCTAGAGTGCCATGCTGTTAGAACTAAGGTCTGCAGCCACCTACTGTGCTCTATTATTCATGCAGTTAGGCAGTATTCAGTAGTTGATGCAGAATGGAAGTAGCACTGGCCTGCTGGAAGCCCCAGACTGTCTTCTCCACATGCAGAAAGCTTTTTAATCCCTACATATACTGTGATCCCCTATAGTAACCATGACTGACAAGCAGAACTCTCAAGGTTCTTTCCATCTGTCTGTTCAGGCACCACAGTGGTATCTAAGAGCTAACTGAGCATTTTTCTCAGAAGTCTGTTTAATGCCATGTTGAATGATCAGCAAAAGCAATTCTTGCTTATGCTTATTTCCTCCCCTTGAACCTCTGTGAAATCAACACTGTAGTGTGCTCATCTGCCTGCAGTCTTGCTAGCTCTTTTCTCTTGTCTGAGATTTACCTAACTGCTCCATATTCAAGATTGGGCTTTATAATTGAACTGGAGGTTACACAGTCATTTTTTGATGCATGCAGACCAGAGCCAGGGTGAGAACTAACCCAGATTTAGAAGTCTAACCACTAAAGTACCGGCTTGATCGATCTTTCTTTTTGGACAAAGACAACCTGGTTGCATTGTCCTGGTGCCTAGGACAGATCACCATCTGTGTCCCCACCTTGAGTACCTCATGGCAGCTGCTGGAGCTAGAAGTTAAGAAAGCTTACCCAAAAAGCTTCACCCGGCCTTTGGAAGAAGCTGTCATTGTGCCATCTTCCTCAACAGTGTATTCAGCAGAGATGTTATCCTGAAGGAAAAGGCCTTCTGGATCCTTCTTGGCCAAGGCATACCATTTCCCTGCATACTGAAGTGAAAGATTATTACTATATAGATTAACCACCACTGCAAGATTAGCACAAAAGCATTTCTATAAACATAGTGCACTTCTAACTACTGATTGCCTTGCCCATAGGGAATGTGAGTCATGTGAATACATCCCATGCAGGTCCTGCTCTACTGTGTGGTAAACACTTGTCTCATGCCTTGAGAAATGGGTCTCACAACTCTGCATTTCTGTATGCATTTCCTCTATCACTTGAGACATGCTTGACACGGCGACCCAACTCTGAAAGCTTCTCCTGCCCTGGAATGCCTGATCAGGACAGTTCTAGTTACTATTTAGCACTCTGCTTTTCCATGGAAGATGAGAATGACAGTAACAAAATGCATCCACAAAGACACCAGCAATCTGTCTGGAGTCACCATGGCAGCTGTCAGGGGCCAAAGCTGGTCTCTAACAGTGCCAAGGGTCTACCCTGCAAAGCAGGAGATGATACAGAGAGGAAATGATGTGCGAGGGCAGCAGGGTGGGATGTGGGACAAGTGAGATTAAGAGGAAAATTCTTAGAAAAAAACCATGGAGTTCCTGGAAATGCAAAAGCAATATCTAGCAAAATAATAATAATAATAAAAAGATGTAAGCAAGACAGTGAAAGGCAGAAAGGCCCTCAGAAATTAACACTGTCCATGGAAACATTGGGGAAAGCTGAATGTAGCTGTGATAAATTCGATTGAGGTCTGAGCTGAATTTCAGCTAACAGAAGGCTGGGTGTAACAGTGTGACAGCCCTGAATTGGGCCAGCTTTTCCACAACACTCAGAAGGTGTTAAGCAGTAACAAGGCAAGCAAACTGTAGAAGCAACATTTGAGAGACAGTGTGGGAAAGAAGTTAACTTCTTGGTGAGGAGCCCTTTTAGCAACATCTAGGTTGGAAAATGAGTTCATATAGCGAAACTTCTTCACACATACTCTATTTACCAAGATGAAGTAAAACCATAATTACCCTTTTTGGATCAAAATTGTCTTTCACAGAGAAAGAGTCCACTGCACAGGTCTGAGCTAGGCTATATTCAACCGTGGAGAGGATTGATGCCAGGAAAACATATTGTGCGTATTTCATTCTGCAAGACAAAAGCAAATGGGCAGAGTTTTATTTCATGCAATAAATGTGGATAGCTAATGCTATGCCTACAGATGCTATATATATAGCTCCTGATTTTAAAGCTAGTTTTCTTCAACACTCAGTACTGTACTGTTTTTTGCACTGAGAAACTTGGGTCATCGTGGTGCCTGATTCCAGTCAAATCTGAGCTCTATTGGCAATTGTTTTGTAAGATAATTTTGCTTGACAGTAGTGGCACTGCAGAGAATAATGTTCTGATGAATTCTGATATAGCATTGTAGGATGGAAGGATGTTATTTCTGAGTGAGTATCCCCCAAAACACAGCAAAGCTGTGTTCACTATGGCCAGTTCTTGTCAGTGAATCAGGTTCCTCCTAGAAAAATACATCTTAGGATTGTTTAACCTTACATCATTCCCCTTACAAACATAACAAATAATACTTCATTTCTGGAGCTTGATCTGCCATTGAAGCACAGCTACCAGATGGCTATGGCTATTTTACTTTCCCAGGGTATTCCATTCTCATCCATACCTCTGTATATTTGTTCTTCACACTTTAGGAAGAGAGAGCAACTGCATATATATTCTTACATAGTACTCGGCCCTGAATACCTGCTCTGATGCCCCCCCAAAAAACCACAGCTACCTGTATCTTGCCTTCAACATCCAAACAGCTATCCACCCAGGTCTTCCAGACACGCAAGCAGCCACTCTGTTCCCAGCTGCTGCTGTACAAGCTGCTCTTTCCTACTGGAAGATCTGCTGATCTGTCTCACCTCTGCTGAAGAGACACCTACCTGTTGGGTAGAGGCGCTGGAGATCCCTGAGACTACTCTGCTTCAATCTTCAGGCTGCAGTCAGCAGGAGAGTTTTGTGTCAATCGCCCTCCAGCTGCCTTTAAATAATGAGTCTGCAAAGTCACTAATTGGTTATTTTTGCTCATGTGCCTGAATAAAACGCTTAATCTGGATAATCCATTATGTAAAAACCAACTGTAATCCTCACACTGGTGTGTCTGACTGCTATTCTAATACAAACACAGCTTTTACATAATGGAAAAAGCTGTCCAGAAAGCTAATAACTTTGCTGATGTGATTGTACCACACCTTTGTCTCATTGAGGTCTTCCTGCTTCTTACACGTGTTAGGAGAATAAGCATCGAGCATTAAGCAGAAACTCATGGACCATACATATTCATCTGCACAGGCACGTGTTCATATTTGATTACTCATTTGGAACAGTTATATTATTAGCACTTCCAGTATCTGCATTATCAAATGAGGATAATCCATCCAGGAGTAGACAGATACTATGCATTGTCTGCTAAAATGAAACCCACTACTAAAAAAACATATGCAAAAAATAAAAGATTTTGCCTCCCTATAAAAAATGTTGATTGTGAAAAGTGCCTGCCATTCTTTCAATTTCCTAAAGTGATCACAGAATTTCCCCAACTGTACAGGCTGACTGTGTATTTTTTCCAACTAGGATCACCTGGATAGTGTTAGAAGATTTCAGCCGCTCCTTTAGGAGCTGGCACACTGTTGATTACTTCTTCCACTGGGCTGATGGGTGCTGGAAAGACTCAGACACCCTCACTAGGGTTTCTGTCAAGTAAGGCCAGGGAGTCTTGAATTTCCAGGGCTGCTCAACAGTTTGAACACTGGCAGAAAGGGTAAAGCCTTTTGGATGTGTAGCCTTGTTGCAGTGATCACTTGCTTGCCCAGGAATTTCTCAACAGAAGCATACAACCCAGCTGTCTGGCTATCTTGTTTGGTGTGTGCTATCTTGCTTTCCAAGCAGCTTCTTCAGGGGTGTCCATTACGCAGGAAAGACAATGCTAGCTTTCTGCTAGGAGAAACTTTTTTTGATCTTTGTGCAACTTCCGTTTATATTTTAGGAGACAAGGATACTTGGCATCTGCAAGTCTTGTGGAATGACTGAGTGTACCTTGCTCTTCCAAGTGAGCAGTGTGAAATTGGCTTTCAGTGTTTGCTTTGCGTATAGAACCTTCACAGGCACAGCCTTCCTTATAATAGCAGAGGCTTGCTGAGCACAGGCATTAAAACAAAAGACTTTGGATTAAACAAAAATTGGCTTTCAAGCCAGTTTTCATAACCAGTGCTGTGGTCAGGGTGAGAGTGTGGGAGGACATGGCTAAAAAGACAGTCTGGCTCTTGGGTGGGTAGGAACTCATTCAAAAACATTCTCTGTGGAACATTCCTTTCATGATTCTAAATGTCACTACCAAGTCTCTACTAGATCCCTGCACCAGACAGGCACACACAGGTCATGTTGACAACTGCCAATAAAATATCTGTAGGCACTACTGAAATGTCTGCTGGAGACTGCCCTGCAACACTTACAGGCATTGACAAAGGTATTGTCTTCTTCCTGTGAGGTGGGAAGACTGCATGGCAAGCTGCTCAGTAGAACATGGAGATGCTAAAATTGCTGTCTTTCAGCAGCATATTGGGCAAGTTCACCTGCGGCCACTGCATACCTAAAACTTGCTCCTGGTTCAGGAGCCATCTGGGTTGCATATCATGTGGAGATTGGGGCAGATTCCAGAGGTGTGCTCATGCTTTAGGAACCATGGGGAGAGCAGACAGGACAGGGTTTTGATACTCAGCACCTATGGGAAGGGGATAGCCAGTGGGGCATTTGGAAATGGTCACTGTTAGGAGCAATAGCCCTTTCTTCTCTCTTTGTCTGTTGGTGGCTGAGTTTTTCCAATGACAACAAGACATGCAGGGAGGTGATGCATGCCCAGCTGATCCAACAAGGCAAGGGGCACTTCATGTTCTGCCTGGAACCTTGTTGTTTTTGTTTTCTGGAAAGGCAAATAGCCATTTGCCAAAATAACCCTTCAGCTGCAGCTGTCTGCTCACCATTTGTACTGTACCTCAGGGATCAGCAGGGTCCCTGAAGTGCTGGTAGCCCCCAATAGCGTGTGTGAAAGAAACCAGCTCTGTTAGTTCAGACACAACAGCTTACCTGCAGCCTTGTCCACATGCTGTGTGGCCCTGGGACACACTCCTTGCCTTCGCTTCTTGTTCAGAAAAAGTTGCTGCGTTTAGGAGTGGGAAGAACATCAACAGAAGGCTATAAATGCTTGGCAAACTACGCTGTCAATTTCACTAGCTGCTTTGTGAGAGGTTAGGTGCCCACCAGCTTTTCAAACAACCCTCCCTGAAATAAAATCCAAGCTCAGAATTGTTCTTTTCTGCTCCTAAGTGGTGACTTAAGAGAGAATGAACTGTGGCGTTTTCTGTAAATTAGAATGGCTTTGAAACACTTATCGCTTCATCTGTTTCCAACAAAAGAGATTAGTTTATGTCCCTGTGAGACATAGGTGACACTTGAAGCCATGCTTAGGTGACCACTTAATCCCTTGGAGATTATAGACATGCTAATAATAGCTAATCACAGCCCAAGATTTTGGTTGGTGACTGCAACATCTGTCACTCCATTACTTGCTGTTTAGAACAAGAAGAAAACAATATCGAACTAACCTTCATTTTAACAGTATTACTGTAGTGTATGCTGGGCATAGGAAAAAAAAGGGGGGAGGAAAGCATCAAGTATGCTCCTGGACCGGTTAAATTTGATGTAACATGAAGTGGATCTTATGGAAACAAAGGTGCACTGAAGGGTCTGGTTGTCAAAGAAGACATCCAAGAGCCTCTTTCAGACCTGCTCATCAAAACTGGCTATTGTTTATACAGGAGGTGTTCACACTAAATAAAATGTTCAGTCCATTGGTCTAAGCACAAGAGTCTGAATGGCCTACAGTAAAGCAGGATTGCAGATGAGATAATCGTGGCCTATTCTGCCTATCCTATGAAATACAGAAGCAGCAGTTTTGGTTTTCCTATCCCTGACAGCCCCCTCCTTATGCCTTATTATTGGAATAAGCATTGGGTAAACTGCTCTGGGAATTATTGCAATTGCACTGCCGGCTCAGATTTAACAACATGCGCTAGCTCAGCAGCTGATAGCATAGTCTGAGATCTCTAAATAGCCTCCAGCATCAGGCCTTCAGTTCCCTGCTGCCCAGGAGGCAATTAACTTGTTTACCAATGTGCTGGAGAACAATTGCCAGTAGATGGATTTTGAGTTAAAGACACAGTGGTGGTTATTGTGCTATAAGTCAGGAGGATTTCCAGCTGTAGCTTCAGCTCCAGCTCATGCTGTCAGGGATGCAGGGCATCCTTCTGGGATTGTCATATCTGTGCCTCCAATCCTGGAGGATCCATGTCCTCACCCTAGGTCTGCCCAAAGCCTGAGAGGATGATGATGGCCTGCCCTGTTTCTTTGCCAAGGCAGAAAGAAGGAGAATGGAGGCATTCTTGTGCTGGCAGACCGCATGAAGGCCACTGGATGAGGACTTTATGGTTTCTGTGATTTCTACTCCAAAATGCTGATTTTTCCTGACAAAGACAGTGGTGCAATACTGATGACAGAAAAATCACTTGAAGTTTGTTCCTCTGTGATTCAGGGGTAAGGTTCTTGGGTGTGTTGCGTCATTAGATAAAAAGGCAGCATAAATCACTGCCTTATGACTGTTAAGGCACAATTTAAATACTTCATTGCTTTAAATGACATAAGCTGAAAGACATTCTTCCTTTCTGGAATATGATAGTGACATTCTTACTAAACATATTGACTGGCACTTTGCAGATGAGGGGTCATCTGCTCCTCTGCACATGACACACAGCCCAGGTGGAGATGGACTCGCACGTGTTCCCGGCTTGCAAAAGAAAACAAGAGGATGCAGAAGAGACAAGGAGCCAACCACAAGGTGTGGTTGACCTGGGGGGTGTCCTTTTCCATCCTGCCCACCCCTGAGAAGCAGGGGAGGAAGGCATTAGGCTCCACCACTGTTCATTGCATGCCACCCATTTCAGTGACAGGTGCAACTTGAATTTCAAAAATATGCAGGGACATCAGCTTTTTTCTTGCAGCTATTGCAAAATTTTTGAGACCTTAGATG